AATAATCTTTAACAGGATTTGCCCCAGAAAACTTGCTAAGCCCAGTGGTTGGGGCGCTGAGGCAGTCCACTGGTGGTCCACCATGTTTTTGTATTACAAAATGATACGTTGACAGAAAATTTAAAAATATTACTGGGTAATTACAGGTTACGGGAAAACATCACCGGTGAAAAGCTATTTAAACTCACAAATCAAAAAATACGATTACATTTAATATTAATTTTCACTTTGTTTAATCCAAATTAAGTCAGTCTTTTTGGTTTAATTGTGTAAATATTGCTGATAGTCCAGTGGCATTCATCTGTTCGAAGCAGGCATCTTTTCCTGCACAATTTGTGGGAAATGCAGCTAATATAATCTGCATCAAAATTTCTGGGCAAAATAGTCATTTTGGCAGAGCAGGAAGACAGTGTGGTACCATGAACTGGAATTATTTGTATCCTGCAGTTCAAAATCAGCATTTGAAGAAGAGACTTGTAATCCAGTTTTTACTATTTTATTTTGTATTCTTTCAATGTTTCAAATATTTGACAAGCAATGACTTTTGTTATTGTACCTACGCCTCCTGCTTGCCACAGTGACTTCACATCTTTTTGTGCCATCTTACACATACGTTTAAAAGTGTGAAATATAAACACAAAAACAGGCTCCACCAATCTGGTTCAAATTTAGTAAATTGCATTGTGGTCAATACATTTGAATATTTCTCTTCAAGTACTTCCACTTGTCTTGCTCTATAAAGTGAATTCTGAAGATTTAGAGTACAGCAGCCTTTGAAGATTTGGGTCCCTTCAAAGTCATAAATCCCTTCATTCCTCTTCTTCTTGTTTATTGGACAATGGCAAGCAAATGATGATGCATTGCCACCACCCAGTGGTAAGGAAGGTGGACCAAATATTGCCCAGAAAAAAATAAATAAAATACAACGACCTTTCAAACAAATAACTGCTAAAAAAAATAGAAGATTATCAAGTATAATAGTGTTTGCTTCCTTGCAGTCTCTTCCAAATCTCTTCCAAATCTTCCAAATCCACATAACGACAACTACAATTGTAATGTTCTGGAATCTGCATTCTGGCTGTGCTCAATCCATCTGTATTTGATTTGTCATGACTTGCTGTGTGGAGCAGCCACATGCAAGTCCCACTGACTGACAGTTTAAATCAAACTATTTCATGACACCTGTGAGCGTTGTCATAATATTTTAGCTGTCACAAATACACAGTAGAGTTAAGTGTATTACTTAATAGTATACAAATAATTTCAGAATTATAGCCCACCATCTATATGCACAAGTCTTAAACGTCACTACGCACTGTAGAATCTTTTAGACGCAGAACATTTTTGTAGGTTGTTGCACATTGTGGACGGAAACTAGGACTGGTCTGCACATGGAGACCATTCTTATTTGAAGGAGGACAATTATTAAAGTGATCATGCGGTCTACTGTTCAACTTGCCGCGGTTCATTCTGTTTAAACGCCGCTTCGTTTGAGACACAGAGAGGAAGGGCGAACTGACAGACTTCACCACATCCAACTGGTTAAATAGCATAGCAATACTTCCGAGCTCTAAATCTCTGTGGTTATTCATTTTTTAAAAGCCTTTAATCAGAACGAGTAGCAAGAACGACATGACCTGACACTCTTGTTTTCGCCGTCTAACGAGTTACAAAAGCATGACAACAAGCACGTCCATTTAACGCTAGCTAAGCTACTAGCAGCTATGTAAACGTTAGGTTGAGTGAAAATAAACATACAAAATAATACGCGCAGTGGGAAAGTTTTCAGTAAAATCCTTTCCTGTGGTTTGTCTCTGATCAGATAATGTTGAGAGAGATTAATAACAAACAGTTAAAGCAAAGACTAACCTGTGCAAATGATTACTCCTTCCCTCCAATGTCACCGTGGGACAGTGGTCGACTTGTGCAACTACGAACGTAAGTTCTTTGCGTCATCACGCCAAAGCTGACGAAGTGTTTCAGGGTATGGCAAACCATTTTAATATATATTCGGTTTTGTCTAACAGAACTACATTCTAGAGATATTTAAAATTTATTTTGACTTGGCAAAATTACATTACGAGTATCCGCAATGGCAATTTAAGATATCGGCCTTTACATTCTGACTAGTAAGAATAATAATTCAAAATATATTCAATTGCATTTACACAAGCCAAGATTCCTTTGTATCTCTAATTACATCACCTGGTCTGTGATACATGACTGCAATTACGATTTAAAATCATCATCATAACCCTAACCTTCTCGAACGTAATTATGACTAGTCAAAATTAAAGTTTCAGATATCTGAATTAATTACAAATTACATCAAACAAAAATATAAACATTGCTTATACACTCATTTTTTATGAGCTCTAGATCTAAAACATTTCAAAAATAATTCCTCTCAAATATCTGCGATAGTTAGCACTTTTCATCCTTTCCATAAATAATTAAACCAAGATGCTGATTAGACAGCATGTTTATTGCACAGACGAGCTGCAGGCTGGATGGTCACATTAAGTCACTGAAATGTGCTGTTTGCATTTATACATTTGTATAAATGCAAACAGCACATTTCAAAACACTTTTGTTTTTGCTTCCATTTTTATTAGCTGAACTCTACAATCTAAAACATTTTTCTACATAAATAATTTCTCTCAAATATTGTTTACAAATCTGTCTAAATCTGATAGTGAGCACTTCTCCTTTAGATAATCCATCCCACCTCACAGGTCTGGCACATAGAAATACTAATTAGATAGCGTAATTATCGCACAGGTAGGCTGCCACTCCGAAATGTGCTTTCAGAGTGGCCAGTATGATGACAACTTGCCTCATACAGTGCAACGTTCGTCACATAGAGTTGATCAGGTTGTTGATTGTGGAATGTAGATTCACTCCTCTCACATGGCTCACATGTCCTGTGAGAAAGCTTGAAAGATTCCAGGAATTTTGTGCAGATTCTTATAAGGTGGGGCAACATGAAAAGATAATCATGGATGAATGGCACAACAATGGGCCTCAGGATCTCTTCATGTCTGTGCCTTCAAATGCCATCAATAAAGGTACTTGTGTTTCATGTCCATGACATACAGCAGCCCCTACCATAACACTGCCACCACCATGAGCCACTTCATCCAGGGGCCACTCAATCCACAATGTTGACATCAGCAAACGCTTGATCCACACCAACCACACACACTGTCTGCTGTCTTTCCTGGTCTGGGGTGGTTACACATGGTCTGCAATTGTGAGGCTGGGTGGATGTACTGTCAAAATCTTTGAAACACTTTAGGAGAAGGCTTATGGTAATGATGTGTCTTCTCTGTCCAGGCTTCGGAGAACATGTCTAATACTCCTGGAGGATTTTTATGAAGCTGATGTTGATGGAACAAGTTGTGAAGCCTCACAAGAGGGCCATACCACATAACTGATTTAGGAACTGGCTCTCAGTTTACCTGCAGATCAAAATAAATGTTTCACCTGCCACATTTTCTTGTTTTAGGATTTTATTGCATGTGCGTGTGCAAGTCATTTCATGAACCCAATTTTGTCTTGTCTGGCAACATTTTGATTTATCCAAATAATTTCACACAGTAATAATAAACCATTGCCTTGCAACATAAAAAAATGACAAAAAGCAATGCAAATTCTGTGTTCTAATTTCAAATGTTTTGAAAGCACACTTGTGTGCTTTTTGACTTTATGCAGAGCTTGTTGAGTTTTGCAGAAAGCCTCCAGAGCTCAACCAAATCATTTTAGGATACAAAGATCAGACAGCATACATCCATTGCAATATTGGGAACATTTTGGGATAAAACATCCCAAAATGTGAAAAAGCATCAGAACCTGCGAATGCTTTTCTTGCTTCAAGTAATAAACAATGTAATTTTGTCAACAATGACATGGAGTAAAAAGCCAATCACAACTCTCTCCCCTAGCTCTGATCAACATCCCTGCAGTCAATACACGTTCCCTCAAAACTTGTGACTGAGATAAAATGGCACATTTCAGAGTGGTGCAATAGTCATGATGAAAAATCAGCATCAGGACATGCCACACTTGTGAGGTGGGATGGATTATGTATGCAAAGGAGAAGTGCTATCAGACATAGACAGATTTGTGAACAATATTTGAGAGAAACTGTCATCTTTTTGTATATAGAAAATGTTTTTGATCACTGAGTTCAGCAAATAGAAATAGCAGCAAAACACAAAAGTGCTGTGTTTGTATTTTTGTTCAGTGTATTAACTCAGCAATCAAAGGATACACAGCTTAACTTGCTGAACTGACCTGACCCAAAGACACCTGAGGCTAATTTGCTTAGCGGTTTGGCCAAACCATTTACACACAGTAGGAAAAACAAAACCAATCATTATCTCAATTGTAATAATCTAAATAAACCCAAAACACCACCTTGCTGTTTCGCAAATGATTGGTCTTGTTGAGCTGGCATTGCACTCCCAGTCATTAGCCATTGATTAGACATTAAAATAATCCCTGCCAAATACTCAGCCTCCAGAAATGTCCACTATTATTTGTACTTTGATCAGGAAAGATGCTTCAGTTTTGCCCAACAGAAACAGACTTAAAGCTAATGGAAGACTAAAATTCTGGATTCTAGACAAATATAAAGGATCAGAGCCTGTTTGAAATTTGAGAAAGAGATTTCATAAAAAAATGTTCAGGAAGCAAATCAAAACATAAAGAATGCTGTCTGTCCCAACATGCACTATACTCCCAAGACACTAAAATAACTTTCTTTATGGCTGAATCAGTATGACATAAAAACATCACAGCTGACAGTCAACATAAACAGGATTAGTTTGGGTACAAATCATTTCAATAACTAAAATAAGATTACAGTTAAATAGGATTTAACTGTGAATGGGATGGACAGAAACTTTGTGACAATATTGCTATTGTAATTTTTTAAAATAGGTTTAACACCTATTAAACACAGATTAAACAAACACAGGAAAGACAAGACAGTTAGATTCTTTCTTACTCGCGATAACAGACAGAGATGTGCTTTCAGTTACAATCTCCTACCGCTCTGAAACCACATTTGCCTGCTCCTCTCTTTTTATTGTTTTTAGGATCCCCAATCACAAAGAACGCTGTAACACTTCATCACATGTAGCTACATCACCATTCACTAACAAGGTATCTTGCACTAGATAGTCTTGTTCCAGACACAGGGTTAAACAGAGCAAGTTGTACATCTTCACAGTCATAGTTTTATAGCAATCTAGCAGGTCAAAGAGGCCTTGCTTCCCGCCGAGAGATAACCCAGCAGAAACCTGTTGTCACTGCTTTCCTTCAGTGAGGCCTTCTGAGAAAGGACTCAGAGTAAATCAACAATACAGAAACATCCTTAATTCTAAGATGAAATTAAACAATAAAGGCATATAAGAAAAGATACATTATAAAGATGAATTAGTCAAATAACAAATATTTGACAATAACATCACAATATTTCCAATATATATAATAATATAATATATAACACACTATCACTAGAGACTAATGAACGAAGCATGGAGTAATGAACCTTTGGCCGAAACAAAGGGCTGGAAAGGTTCGTTGATTCATGAAGCTTCATTGCCACCACAAGTGAAAGGTGTCGATGACGGTCTTCTTTAAAGTCAGCAGTCTTTGCCATGATTGTGTCGGCGACTGAGGCAGAAGGAGAAAACTCAAAGGTTCAGGAAACCTTTGCAGGTGTTCTGAGTTAATTAGCTGATGAGGGTGTGACACCATGAGTTTCAATTAATGTGATTTTCAAAATATTCTAATTTTCTGAGAAACCAAATGAGTTTAGCTTTCTAAGATGATTGGAAATGATTATTGCATTTTTACACAATAACCTTATTTTGGACTTCATATAAGTACATCTTATTTTATCTTTATTTCAGCTTCACTAATGTTTGCATATCTTTACTTAATGTCTGAGCATTAAGTATGCATCAAATTCATTGCGCACAGAAACTTAACCAATAAAACTGATTCTGATTAGCAAGAAATTAGAAAAATTTAAATATGTTTTACTGGGTTTTACTTAAAGAAATCATAATGAAGGAATAAGAATACATATACAGTTTTCACAGATGTTAAATGGCTATGCAAATATGACACAAAACCCACAAAACAATACACTGATATTTTATTTATGGTATAACAATGTGATGACATAGCATGACAACTTCAGTGCCTTCTGCTTATGTGGATGGAGATTTTCTTTGCTTGCATCATTAAAAAACTGAATGTATTACAAACAGAATGAGAAAAAGCTGTGCAACTACAGTATACAAGAATAAAATAAGTAGGAGTTTTGATAGTGGTACTTCACTGATGCCATAAAATTGCATGCGCTATGTAAGTAAATTCTGTTTCATGATGTTTGATCAACATTTATATCCACAACTCTTCATCCACAGCGACAGAATTAAGAGCACGGATACTCATTTTCCAAGACTGAGAACTGCTCTTCTCCTTCAGAATGTCCAAAATGCTCAGATGCCATCAGTTGTAGAAGTCTGGCTACAACCAAAACATTGAGGCTATTTCCCAAAACTCTGTACTGCTGGATGATTGAGATATCCTCTGGAAAAGCTGCAAGGAGATTTAAAAAATAATTTTGTCAAAAAATATGACATGTAAATAATGGAAAATAAACATGTTAACTTGATAAAGAAACCACTGCAACTTTAAGCAGTTCCAAAAGTTCACTTTACACAACTAAAATATAAATAATGTTTTTCCTTCACAAGCCTGACTGGTGTTTGTTTTAAATTGATAGCACAGTGATTGGAAATATGTGCTTCTTCTATTTTTCATATAACTACTCTGTATGAATCCCATCATATAATCCATTGATGTGGTGAGCGGTGAGTACACTGTTTCCTCCGTACAGCAACCATTCCCTGATCTTTCACAATGGTGTTGGTTATTCTTGTGCTTTGTCTTTCAACCATGTGATCAAGTTCCATATTAAAGTCTTCCACACACTACAATCCCTCAAATACTCACATGGTGTTAGTGAGTAGGGCTTTCACATTTTTCTGATTATGTTTAGGAGGTATATAAAGAATATTTAGTGAAACCACCTCTCATTCTAGTTTAGATCTTACATTGACATCACTGTTTAAAATTACTCAAATTTTTTATGCCCTCCCCTTTTATTACTTGTACATGTAGTATATATAGTAAGCTTCTAAAATCAAATTTCCAAAATTGCTAATGTTCTTCAAGTCACAGACATGTTTTCTAAATATATTGGCATTAAGCTTCCTCATTTTAAGTATCACCTTACTTCTCTTAATTGGGTTATTTGTTCCACAGACATTCATTCCCTCCATATTTACATCAAGCTATTTACTGTAGAGATTTGTTCTTATCATAACCGTAGCAACCCCACAATAATGCTGAGAACTTCAAACAAGAAAACGCAAAACTTCAGTGGCTGAAAATAGATGTTTGGCCAAGAATTTATATCTTTTGAGGGGTATGTCACTTTCAAAATAGAGGTCCCTAGTGAGATTCAGCCATGGTTTTTAATAACCAGCATTTCAGGCACCACACTTCATTTTGTCTACGATGGCATGATAGATCTGTAAACATTTGGTCTGATGTTTTTTCTGTCAGCATCAATTTCTACTGGCTTCAGCTGCTGGCTACATGTCTTAGAAATTCTTAGTGTCATTGTTGGGGACACTAACCCTGAAAAGCCTCCTAAACAGTTGCTAAAGTTTCAAACTGTATTTGTATTTGCTGTGTATACACCTCGAAGCTTGAGTGTTGGATACATACATGCATCAACTGGCTCCTCTCAATGTGAAGGAGCAGGGGCTCCTAGATGACCAAGCTCCTCACCCCATCTCTAAAGAAGTGCCCGGACACACTACAGAGAAATTTTGGCTGCTTGATCGACTGGTTTATGGAGAACTCGGTTGTGTCTTCACCATGACAGATTGGTACAACGTCCACTTCACTGCACAGGTTGCACCAATCTGCCTATCGATATCCCGCTCCATTTTTCCCTCATTCATGAATGAAATCCCAAGAAAAAACTCTAACTAACCCCAACTAGTGGGGTTAGAGACTAACCCCACTAGTTGGGGTTATCATGACGATACCTGAGGCACAGAGTTGCCACACTATTTCTATATGAAACTAATGGGCTAGAAACAATTTAAAACTGGATGAACTGAGACAAGCAGAGTTGTGTGAAATGGAAAATATCACAGACAGATCATGTGAAAAACAAAATCCTGACATTTCTGACTTACAGAATCTCTGAGGGAAACCCATCAGGTTGGCTACTTCTCTCGGAGTAAAATAACGTAGATTTAATTTTAACATTTTCTGGAGCTTCTCCTCTTCAGTCAACTGATCCATATTGGTAAAGACACTACTAATCTGAAAGCACACAAAGAGAAATTTCATTTTGATGACATACCTGTGCATATGTTGTGTGATTGTCCAAGGATGGCTCTAATTACATTAGAAATCATAGCTTAATTAACTGGTACTAATCCAGAAGGCAAATGTTAGAAGCCAAGGATGCAGAATAATGACATTCGTCAAGTATCAGTGACATTCAGGTTGAATGAATGCGACCTGGATAACAATAATTAACTTGCAGCAACGTGGGCAGATGCAGAAACCACTGCCATTTCTGCTCAGCATCTTGGTTTGATCTTAAGCCTAGGAAAAAGTCTCACACTTATACATTTAAAACATCTTAGCTTGAAGTTCATCGCTATAGTTTGGCATTACATCAAATTACTCGTTAATTCTAATATCATTAACACACAAAAAAGTTTTTTTTATAAAGGCCACTGTTGGCTCCAGTGGCCTTCATTTGGCACTTGTCAGACAGGAAAGCAGGTTGTGAGGTATAGAAAAAACATGGGGTTGTTGTGCCGTGTTGATGAATGACACCTCCGGATGTCAGTTGTGCAATTTACCCTTACATCATCACTGAACCCAAGAATAAAGAAGTCTAAGAAGGTAATTGTTGAAGCAGCTTTTAGTAAAGCTCCTTCCACAAACACTGTGAACCAAAAATGTTTACACTGTGGCTGAAAGTAAAAACTACATACCTCGTTTTCCGTGCAGCACTGTAGAACTGATCCAGTTCCTTCCACATACCTTCCATAACTATGCAAAAAAGTATCACAAAATAATTAATCTTGCATGTAAAAAAAACCCCTATACATATCAAAAGCCATTTTCATGAGCAAGGAAAAAAAAGCCAAGTCAAATACAGAAATGTAGCTAAATGAAAACTAGGGTTGTTACCACATCTTTTATGAAAGAGAAGCAACAAATTATTTGTTCTGCTTTCTTGTCTTTGACACTGTCTTGAATTTCTTTTTCATTGCACATCTGAGTTTGTATATATACCAAATAAACTGCCAAAAGTATTGGGACTCCTCTTCAAATCATCTGTCACTGCCATTCTGCTACTAGCATTTGAGTAAAAATGGAGCTCAGTGAATTCCACTGAGTACACGCTGCTGAGTTCAGTCATGAAATTTTCTTCATGAAGTGATTTCGACAAAACTATTACATTAAACAGACATATTAATGTGAAATAAGCGATTGCATAAATATAGGAAGAAATTATTTGGTCGGATGAGACCAAAATGGAGCTTTTTGACCATCAAACAAAACACGATGTTTGACAGATATGAAACACTGTATATCACCACAAACATGCCATCCCCACTCTGAAATATGATGGTGATGATGGAAAACATATTGCTTTCTGGCACCAGGCCCTGGAGGTGGTGTGAAGACAGCAGGTAAAGCAGTAAAGCATAGGGAGATCCTGCAGGACAATCAGTTCCCATCTCCAAGAGAACTACAGCTTCAGAGAACATAGATTTTCCGTAAAGCATCCAGCTAAATTTGCACAGGGATGGTTTGAAGGTGGATGAAAACTGAGAATCTGCAGACATGTTTGGTTTAAGAAAATAAAAGATTTTTAGAAAACGTGTATGCAGTGGTGGTTGGGGTTAGGGTAAGGTAAGAGGTGGTCCACCCGAGAACTTGAAAATGATATATATCTTAACTGTCAGTTGTCCCCTGAACAAGATTGCTACTACTTGTATGCATGCTTAGTGGAGTAAGTTTCCCTTAGTTGCAACTGGGAGCTTCCATTATCTGCTTTCTGCTGAAAAACACCATAAAGAAAATAGATATTTCCTTGCATTTTAAATGGTAGAAGTACGGCAGAAGGAGGGGCAGTGGAATATTCTTGCAAGAAGCACAACTGCGTATCTGTTTATATTTCAAACTTGCAAAGTTCGGTATAGTGAGTGTGATCAGTTTATTTTTTCAATCATCTGACAGCAGTAGTATTTATGCAATCACTTATTTTGTTAAATATTTGTATTCAATTACCATTTTGTAGATACTATTGTCACTAACATTAAAACTGAATTATGTAAGTTTTACAAAACTTTTTTTTTACATATTTATTGTCACCATGTCCAACAAATGACAGTACGGGACAGATCATCTGTGAAAAACTTGAGCTCCTCCCAGTGCTCCGAGTGCTAACTAGAAACAACCAGTCAGATCCAGGACTTAGGTCAGTTCCAATCTCGAGAGACACCGTCTTCCTCCTGCTCTGTGCTATGCTGCAGAGAGCAGAGCCTGTTGTGAATGCTCTGACTGGTTAGTATGTCCACCAACTACAGCAAACAAATGGGTTTCCTGGAATGGAAAATTGCTTCTCCACTTGTTAGCAGAGAGTACATGAGCTTAATTGACAGCGCTAAGACCCTGTTCCTGGTTCTGATTGGTTGTTTTTGAACGCGACCTGTCCATATTTTCAGACAGGAATAGCAGCACTGGGAGGAAATGGAGCTCGATTTATTCACAGATTATCTGTTTCACAGCATACGGTCATGACATGGCAACATTTTTAGCACATATGTTAAAAAACATATTCTTCTACACAGACTATGTTTTTAACATGTTAAAAACATAGTCTGTGTAAAACTAAATATCCTCTGATTTCACATTTGTATCCCTTTTCTGCACATTTAAAATATTTTTTAATTTCTTAACATAAAAATCTCACTAAAACTGTTAGTGAGACACTAAAAAGATAATATATCTAAATATATTATCTTTTGGCTCTTGTAAGCAGGTTTTATTGGAAAAAGCTAATAAATAGAGATTGAAACTTTAAAATATTGAAATGTGTTGTATCAACTATGTTTAAACAGTTATTGAACTTACCCTTTAGTGAAGCAGACAGACCTCCGGCTGTGGGGCTGAACAATATCCAAAATTGAGCCATACCGCAACAGGGTTTTAGGTTTAAGGAGATAAAGTTCCATGTCTATATTCATCTGAGGTTCCAAGTAGTCTTGTATTTGTTGAACAGATAGGTTTTTGTTCTGATTAGTCTTCTTTTGACAATCCATTTGAGTTTTGCATTTATACAGGACATGAACACCGGGGTTGTCTTCTGATGGCTGGTCGGTATTCTGACATTTAGATTTGAAGACAGAGGAACGTTCAGGAAACTCACTGTCCATCACATGGGAAAAGGAACAACCCTAGAATAAAAAATGTTGTCAAATATTCCATCTATGCATCCATAAAATTTCAAAACAGATGGCTTTTATGATGAAAATATTACACCTTATCAGACAAAAAGTTTAATTACTGTGAAATATGACATCACTACAGTCAACACAAATAATCATCAAACCACATGAAATTGTCCAAAAATGTTTTGGTATGGTGAAATATTAAAGAGTTTCTTCCACTTGGATGAAAGGCTGAACACTCCCCCCACCAAACATCACTCAACATAGTGCAGTCAGGCAGGTGCTGCTCTCCTAGCAAGTCCCAAAGCCAGACTCATTCACTGGCTTGTCAGAGAGAGAGGCAGGATTTATTAGCCAAGTTCTTGTTGTTCCCACTTGGTGTAATACCACAAAACTATAGAATATTTGGCTGCAGATTTAAGCTTCCTGGGATTAAAAGCAACAGACTCTTTTGTACCCACAGCAATCACGTCTCTAAATTTGTGAGTTATAATTATGTTTTATATCATAATTTATTTATTATATTTTGATCTTCACTTTTGAAAATCAAAAGTCATCGAAAGCTCATGATTGTATCAAAATCTGACCTCTCGTCATAAAACATGTGGGGTAAAATAACTTCCACACACAAGCTTCCAGCTGTATCACACACTGTGTGTCAATTAGTGATACCACCTCAGCCCTGTTTGCATACAATTGGCTCTAAATCACATATGCATCATCCAATTTACATTGTACTCCTTATAAGTGACTTTTGTTGATCTCTATACAGGCCAGAAGGCCAATGTTAGAATTTGACTCCAATGTGCTCTCTAGATTATTCCAACAGCTGTACCTCCCTGATACACCATCCAATGTGCACCTGCTTTATTGTGCATCAGTGGGTGTGGTAGTTTGATGACATTTTCTCACTTGGGGAAGAAACTGAGGACTCCTCCAGTTTCTCCCTGTGTATGATATAGAAGATTGAAACCGTATCCACTAACGCTTGATAATCACCCATAACATATTAAAAAGCCTAGAGGAAGTCCTTGCCATTCATTCGCCACCAAACAGGAAGTGAATATAACACCTTTGACTCATACAGAACTGGATTGAAAAATGTGACAAATGTGCTGCCCAGAGGACAAGTACATGAACGGCATGAGAGCAAAAACAACAGCAACAGTGTGCCAGAGCTTCCATGATCTGTGCAAAAAGCTGGAACGGCACTGAGCTACGAGCTGCCAATGCTGCCTGCAACATTAAATGCAATGTTTTTTCTTGTTATGCTGCTACTTTAAGTGGCTTATTGGACGGCTTAACATATTCAAAAAATAATGTATTTAATTTTTTTTACGTTTTCGGCCCGCAAGTCCTTTTGAGTTGAAGAGTTTGGCCAACATCAATAAATTTAAATCACCATCCAGCCTCTACCTTTGGTCAGAGACCAGTCAATTCACACTAAAGCTGACACTGATCTGTCTGAAAACACCAACAAATATTACCTTGGCACTTGTCTGGATGCTTGAATTTTCTGCAGACATTTTAGCCACCAGGAAATAACGCAGTCGTGAATTTGGAACCCCCACCTACAAAAGGAATACAACAACAACAATAAAGATTTGACGGAATGACTTTGTTGTAAGTTATTCCGTCAACAAAGTTGGTAGTAATCAGATCCATCAACCACAAAACACATTTAAACAGATCTTAAGGTAAAAGGTAAAAATAATTTTAATTCATTCATACAAACATAACTTGCTATTTTGCATCAATTCAAACTGATGCAACTCATCAAGCAGTACAGTATGCTCAATTAGTTATTCAAAGTATCCTAAGAAGTTTCTATTTAAAGAAATCCAGCAGATTGCATCGAGTCATCGACTTCCAGCATTCGCTCCTCCTGCATGAGCATGGAGTGACAATCAATGGCATTGTGTCATTGACTTTACAGCAGTCCCTCATACCGAACATGCCTGTAGGTGTAGTGACAGTGGAGAGGAAAAACTCCCCTTTAACAGGAAGAAACCGCCAACAGAACCAGAACCTCGCTCAGTACAAGACCACATCTGCCATGACCAACTGGAAGAGTGAGACTATCAGACTAGTTTGACAGACTACAAAACATACCGCAACAGGGATGGAACATTTTGTATTTTGCAACATGTTGCAACATTTTTGCATTTTAGCACCATTTGCTAAAATGCTGACACCATATTATGACTGGAACACTTCTGGACTAGACAACACAAAACAATGTCCAAGTCTAAACGGTCAGTGCTAACAGGCTTAGCTCAACATAGTGAACAAAATGACGAGAACAGCAGTAGCCAGTCTGAACTTGAGGTGGAACCAGAGCTTACTAAAGCACTCAAGGTAATAACAGGGTTATATCAGTGAGAAGCTGGGACACCTGGCAAAGACGGTCATACCACATACAACCGAGCTTAAGAGGGCTTACGATGCTGAAAGCAGGCTCCTACAGCTAGAAGAGGCTAGAAAGCCCCTCACTGCTAAAGTACAAGCCCTGGAAGAGAAAGTCAAGACTCTCGCAGACCACAGTGACAATTTGGAAAACAGGGGGTGATAGAAGCATGTATATTCAACATCCCAGCAGATGCAGTAAGGCAAAATACTCTACATTTTTTCATAAAGTAGTCATCTGTAGTTCTTACGTTTCTCGGGGAAATCATGCATTCCCGGTAAGTGTAGCCACAACCACTCAGGGTTTTTATCAAACAGTCCCTAAAGAACAGAAGCACAGAGTTAAAACACATTCAATTCACACACAGTGTTTAAGAATTGACTTTTGTTTCATTGCTCACTGCAACAGAAATAAAAAGTCAAACTAAAAGAATTCATTTCTCATGTAGTGGCTCAGTCCTAGCAAAGGTCAAGTCTCAGTGTTTATCCATTGAAACAGTCTCCAGGTTTTAACTGATTACTTAGCTGGAGATCATAACTCAGCCAGCACTCTTATAATTCTAGAGTTGAAAATAGGATTCAGTAGCTGGGATGCATTTCTATACTGATGACCTGAACTGCTGGTTTAAGAAGATAGTCACAAATTCCCCAAAAACATACTGTGGTTTTATGACATAATTATAATCTTTGTCACAGATTCTGTTCATCATTTTTATGGACAGAATTTCTGTGCACAGCCATGGCGTTGAGGGCATTTGTTAGATTTGTGTCTCTACTCTTTGCAGATGATGTGGTCCCTCTGATGTCATCAGGTCGTGCTCTACAGCTTTCGGTGGAGCAGTTTGCAGCCAAGTGTGAAGAAACCAGGATGAGGATCGGCTCCTCCAAATCCGAGGCTACATGGTCTTAAGCCAGAAAAAGCTGGAATGCCTTCTCCGGGTCGGGGAAGATATCGTGCTCCAAGTGGACATCTTCCTCCACTCACTACTTAAGTTGTTCCCCTGTCACCAGTGGACAGCTTAAGTATCTCCGAGTATTGTTCATAAATGAGGGAAACATGGAACAGCAGATTGATAGCTGGATTGGTGCAGTGTCTGCAGTGAAGCTGGCACCGTACCAATCTGTCATGGTGAAGAAAGGGAGAGAGAGAGAGAGAGAGAGAGAGAGAGAGAGAGAGAGAGAGAGAGAACAAAAGAGAGGGGGAGAAAATGAGGTAGAGAGAAAGGCAGAAAGAGAGAGGGATAGAAAGATTTTTTTGATTTTTAAAAACTAATAGATTCATGCAGAAATGATCCATAAGAACATTCAACATAACTTCAAATGAACACATTCATAAATTAAAGTTCAGAATTATATAAAATAAATAAAACACCTTCATAATGCCAAATATTCTTAAAAATATTTAACCAATTTTTAAATAATATTTACACGATAGCATTACTCTGCTAACCATACTCTTTAAAAGCTATAAAGAGCTTTTACTTTTACTAAAAACACGTTCACTTGAATTCACAGCAGCCAATGCATTCAGTAAAAATTACCTTTATATTTTCATACTTAACAATAGCCTTTTACAATCTTCCAGATACAACATCTCCAGTTTCAATAGAAACTGGAAGAAAATGGCCTGGTAAAAAGAAAAACTGCTCCTGCGCTTAGTGAAGTTTTACAACTCAGAACAAGATTGCCATCCTATTCTTTCTTCCAATCAACCTCATTATCAACACTGCTCTGAGTTTCTTGAGCAAAAGCTATTATGAACGCAGTTAGATTTTAAAATTCAAAATACACAGCCTTTTTTTTTCGCATCCCTTGCACCATTAAGGCTTAAAAATTATATTTTAAAAAAATACTCATAATCAAACAAAAAACATCATAGAAAAAAGAAAATACAGTATCTTACCAGATGTTTTTTAACTTTCATGTAGCTCACTTAATTCAAGCTCTGATTTTTTTGCACCAGTTTTCTAAGTCCTTCAGTTTACCTCAATCCATCAGAAGTCCTTTGTCTCATCAGCCATTTAACTGAGTCAATAACCAATCCTCATAGTTTAATAACACCTCATAGTTTCTGTTGTCACAAAAATAGTGTAATCAAAACCATCAAACTTAAATTTCATCACTACGCTCTGTTCATCAGTATCATTTTTGAGAATCATAAACACTTGTCTTCTAAATGAAACAACGTGTTTCAACTTTGCTGATTTGCAACCCGACCGGAGCATTTTCATAGCTGACATAATATGACCGTGACATGACAATTCCTTCAGCAACACATCATTACTGATGAAAGTAGTAAATTACTACTTTTGCAGGGCTCATTAAGAGGAAAACAGTAGTTTGTATACTTCTCATGGCAATTTCCCTCTCAACTACGTTGTTCACCTTGCTAATCAAGTCCAAAAACAGAACCACTGCATTATTAATCCTGGACACTGCTTTCACACTTTCAGACCCGACAAGTTCCAACAGCCAAACCACAGTCCTCAACCGAATAGTCTACGGCAACTGGTATTGAACATCATGTTGATGTGAAAGACTACTACAGCCTGCAGCACCATAACGTTTTCCGGCCATCGCACTGAGCTAAGAGCTATTAACAGACAGTGAAAAAAGAATGTGTTAAAGTGTGAAACAAGAGAATCACCATTGTAAAAAGTGAAGTTCAAATTGAGAGAGAGTAAGTGAGAGAAGGAAGGAGACAGGAAGGGATGGATGGATATTCTTCATCATTACCTGGCTGAGGAACTCTCAAAACCTTTGACATTCTCCAGCAGGATATATTTTGGCAGCTTGCAAAGCCTGAAATCATATTGACAAAAGAAAATTGAAAGAATTCTGCTAATTGGACAAATCCTGCTTGCAACTTCCTGGATAATCATGTGGGAACAGTGTTTGGAATGTACACATTATCTCTGTGTCTTTCTCTCGATGAAACATTGTCTAGACTTCATTGCTTATCATTTTTATAGGTATGGTTTACAAACAAATGACAAAACAAAATTTTGTTGGATCTGGTCTCATAAAATTATAATATTCCAAAAGAAATTAAGAGAAAGGGATATGTTCAACAGAAATGTGAGGCATCCAAAAGGTACACTAATTTCAGTTCATGCGATATTTAGCTGAAGCTTCTTTTGCATGGATGACGCATTTTGTTGGATCTGGTGTCTCTCATCTTTCTCTTAAGAATACTCCACATATTATCTATGGGGTTAAAGGTCAGGTCAGTTTGATTGTCAATCCAACACATGAACACCTTGGTTTTTGGACCAGATTTTGGTACCTTTGGCAGTGTGTGCAGGCACCGAATGAATGCAAAAATCAGGTACCTCTAATCCACATAGAGATGTGTAATAGAGGGATTATTAACGTCATGAGTTTCACTTTCTGAAATGAGTGATAGAAATATTGAACTTTTTAACAATTCCTCTCAATATTAGTAGGAGTAGTCTCCTACTAATATTCAAATATTAGTTGGAGCTTTACTAATCTTTAGACAGAGAGATATTAGCTTTAAGTTCAGAATGAAGCCTTTAACACTGTTTTACATACCTTTCATTAAAAAAAAACGTTCTTTACATGTTTGTTAAAACTGTCACTATGTTGTGATAATTTGGTATGATACAGATAATCTGTGAAAGAAATAAGTTCCTCCGCCTTCTCCCAATGCTACTATTGGGAGCATTGGGAGAAATGCACCGTTCCCGGTCAGAAACAACCAATCAGAGTCAGGAAAAAAGTCTAAGTTGGTGGCTAAACATTCCAGGCTGTGCATTCATGGCAGGTTTTGCTGTTGCTAAAAGTCTGTGGCGCAGCAGAGAGCAAGCGGCAGAGTGTGAGGAGCACAGAGGAATTTAAGTTTTCCACAGATTATCTATCTCATGTTATACTTTCACATCCTGCAGCTTAAGTAAAAAATTCTAATAACCTTTTAAAACTATTTTTTAATTCAGTCAGGCTGACCTCTGACTAAATCCTGCATATTTGACATCCTCATACCGTGGAAGGAGTTCAAGGATGAAGAGGAAGCTCTTACATCTGGGGTCTGCAACGTCACCCTGAAGTCCTAACCTAGAAAAGAACAAAGCAAAGTACAATACCAGATAAGATGACAAAATGTTCATCTTATCTCCATCAGTAAAAACTAATTGTGAGACAGAAATGTAAATGTAACTTAGAATAAGGATCAAATTAAAGGGGCTTCTCCACTGGAAAGACTCACTAACCACTTGATGTGTGAGTTAGTTGTACTCCAGTGGTGAGCGTCTCCATTATGGTCTTCAGACCATTATGGTCTAAACACTTTTTCTGTGCCCACGGAGAACCTCCAGGTTCTGATTCTGCTGGACTAAAACCCAGATATTTCATTTTGTCTTATGGAAATGTATTGCTGACCCAATAAAGACTCAGATCAGCTGATTATCTATACATATGAATATATCCTTGCACTATATTTTTTAGATATGAAACCTTTTGGGAAATGAATTCAAAAGGTGTAAACCAATTTCACACTAAACATATTTTTTTGAAATTCCAAACAAAAAATATAATGCACAACACACCAGGCTAATATTATGTAGTTTAGCGTTTCATACAGGGGGCAAAAGCTGACCACAGCTTCACCATTTCTCTCTTCTTTATTGCTGTCCATTCTTCAGAGAGATGAGTTGCTAGCAGCTCTGCTAATTCAATATCATTCCTCTGCTAAAGTGACTGCATGTGTTCCTGCCGCTGCTTCTGATCAAACCCATAATTACACTCCTCCAGACTGAGCAGCTTTCTGATATCAGACAGAATGTCCATCAGTCCACAGCTATGTGCTATGATCACTGTTTGGAGTTTTCAGTGACGTAAATCATGGGCCAACCAACAAATGAGGTCAGATTTATTTGTATCCCAAATTGGGCAATTGATGATGCAGCGAATATAAAAATTAAAAGACAAAGTATCAAAGATTAAAAAAAAAAAAAAAACAACAAACATACCAAAAGGACATGAAATACAAATCAACATATAATGGGAAAAATACAGCAGTGTATTTCATTATTGACTGACAGTTGCTACAAACACTAAATCAGGTGCAAGCCCCCTCCTTGTCCTAGAGATATTTCTGTAGGAACCAAAGAGAGAACCTGTTACTTTTTTTACTAGAAAGTCTGAGCCTGATGCCAGAAGGCAGAAACTGGAACTCAGCATGTAGGATGAGAAGTATCAGCAATAAAGGCTTTAGTTTTCCTAATAATTAGTTTTTTACACAGTTCTGTAAGTGAGCTTTTATCAACCCCTTAGATCAGGGGTGCTTGATACGTCGATCGCGATCTACCGGTCGATCGCGATCTACCGGTCGATCGCGATCTACCGGTCGATCGTGGGAAGGTTTTGAGTCGATCTCTGCAGCGGGTGACAAACTGAAGACCTCCAGGACGCTGAGAGCAGCACTTCCTCTTCTGACAGACTTATCAAAAATATTCACTAAGATCCAAAACGTTCGTAGCTTCATTAAATAATAATAAAGCCTGGAAACCTGATTATTGTAACGGACTGAACGTTTTTAACGTAATCTTTGCGATAAAGAGAGAGAGTGAAACGGTGCGAGTGGTTCTGAGTTGATCACCTGTTCGGGTTATTCTACTTTGTTTTCCTTCGCTGTGGTTCATCACAGCCGCTGGAGTTTCTGAACGTTCAATAAACGACAGACTTGGACTAATGACCTCATTCGTTTGCAGTAAACGTCACAACCAACATCAAATAGGACACATATATTGATTAAGTTTTAACAAACAAATGGCTTCTACCACAATAATTGTGTCAAATTACATTAATTATATCCCAAATTCAGAAGATTTGCCTTTACCTCTGCAGAGCTCTTTGGTTCCTCCTATCAGGCTGCAGTTTCGCATAGTGACGTCATCAAACCAAATTTCAGATCTACCATAACTGACTGATACCTGATGGCCTCAGGTTTACAACCAGCTTCTGACTGAGAAACCAGTAACCTGCTCCCAGAGTCAGAATCTCACTGAGGAAGAAACTGCATTAGATTTTCTATCACTTTATCATTTCTGACATAACTGATGTATATTTGCATAGAAAATGAGTCAATAGGGTTTCATTTATAATTTGTATGTCTTCATGTTATGAGGTAGATCTCAGCCGGCTGGTGAGAGAAAAAGTAGATCTTAGTCTCAGCTCCCCTGCCTTAGATCTTATTGTTAGTATGTATTACTCTCCTAAGGGCATTTTCTGATCTTTCTTATTGAGTTTTTATGACTTTGTTTGCAAAAATATTAAAGAAAACATCATACCTGGTAAATGGCTGGCAAGGAGGGCTCATCATTATCATGTCAAAAGATAATTTATTGAAGTCATCAAGTGGTATACCCTTAAAACAAACAAGTAAATTATTTCAATCATAACATAATATGCACAAATTCAACCAAAGATCTATTGACATGTCTCAACCTAAATATGTTTGGTCAGGTTAAAAAATTAAATCAGACTGCATTGATATAATAAGCATACCCCATATATCAATCATCTTTGAATCACTCTTCATCCAACCAACTATGACGTAAAGTACTTGACAGAGACAAGTCTTGACATAAAATGACAACAAAAACACACTTAAATGGTCAAATTAAATAATAAGTTAGGCAAAATAAAGAAATAAGATAAAACAATCACTGACAGGGGAAGAGAACCACAGCTACACCGGGTTTAGAATTTGATTGTTGCAGGTAAGTTACAATATTTTGACCACAGAAACATTTTATCATCTAGTTGTTGACAATAGTTAGTGCCAAAACAAAAAGGTAAGCAGTCTACAGGGAAATGACAGAACAGACTGTTCTTCTTGAGGAAGCAAAGGAGCTTCAGGGTGTTAAACTCCAGTCCTCAAGGGCCAGTGTCCTGCAACTTTTAGATGTGCCTCTGCTGCACCACCTGAATAGAATGATTAGGTCATTAAGGCTCTGGAGAACTGATCTACACAAGGAGGAGGTAATGAAGCCAGTTTTGTACCTGTGGCATGTCTAAAACCTGCAGGACAGTGGCCCTTGAGGAGTGGAGTTTCACACCTGTGATGTAGATCTTCTATAAGTCTGCTGTTGAGAACTTCATCTTTTCTGCCGTCATGTGTTGGGGCAGCAGTATCAGAACCAGAGACATGAAAAGATTCAACAACCTGATAAAGAAGGATGGTTCTGTTCTGGGGACTGTGGAATCTCGGGAGATCATGAGGCAGAGAAGGATTTCACATAAATCAAGGAAAGTATGGACAAAAATAGAGTGTCTTTAGTTCGAGGCGTCTTCAAATTGTCTGTTTCTGCTCCAGGAGCTCTTTCCTATTCACAACCACAACCAACTACAAAGAATTCTCAAACTCTCCACCATCCATCTTCTTATAGTAGAGAGGCCTATACTTCCCTCACCCCAGCCACTTGTTCCAGCACTTCTGGGGGAATCCCAAGGTGTTCTCAGGCCAGCTGAGAAACATTTCCCCCCAGCGGGTCTTGGGACTTCCCAGGAGTCTCTTCTCGGTGGGACGTGCCCGGAACACCTCACCAGGGAGGCGTCCAGGAGACATCCTGACCTGAAGCCTGACCCACATCAACCCTACTCTCAGTACAATGGTGAAATGAAGGTTGAGGCTGTTTGCTCTTTTTTGAAAGTACCTTCTTTGCTCATTCAATGACATAGATTTACTGATCTATCAATGAATGCAGCCTGCTGCCTATTTGTATCACCCCCTCAGGTGGCTCCAAAAACATGTAAGGTAACTGCACATGTTCTGCAAATGTAAAGGAGTCAGGCCAGGGAAGACTGGGGAAGAACAGAGCAAAGCAGTGTTTCTCAATTCCAGTTCTCGGGCCCCTTGTCCTGCACGTTTATGTTGTGCTTATCCAACATATTCAATATTAGGTTTAATCTTGAGTTTTGGTCAGATTTCTTCAATTACTAAAATCACTACACCAATTTTAAAAGAACTTTAAAACTACTAATGGGGCCATTTATTAGCTTTGAAGAATAAAGTAAAATGTTCTAATGCAAATAAGAAACAAGGATGAACCCAGTGAAATGGAAAACAAAACACAAACAAACAAAAAGTACTGAACCTCTCCATTAGATTAAAAATGAGAAAATCACTAAAGAGACGTTACAGTGGACAAGCTCAGTTGTCAAATACTACGTACCTCAATGGTCTTGTTCCAGAGGGGGGTGTCTGGAAAATTGTGTGTGTAGATTTTATTGGCTGTGGTGTTGATGTCAACAGCAGCCACCACCTGAGCAGATATTCCACTTTCTGGTAAAGAAAAACAACAACAAAAAAAAACAGAAAAAACACAGATCATGATTGTTCTATTCCATATCCATATAATTTAGTTTCAAATATCACTGCCCCCTCAACTAATTTAATAAGATTACACTTAAAAAACATAAAAGTGGCAGATGAATGAAATATATACAACTGCAGTCGATGGCGTAATAATACCTAAGTACGAGTACTTTTTTGGAAATAAGACAGGTTTAAATTTTTCATAATCATTATCTTAATTACAATTGTGGGAGTCAATTACTACATAACAAAATATTTAGAATATAGTTTTGATTGCTTAGATGAGCACATTTTCCTTTGTGAAAAAAAAATTATTTCAAATATTTTCCAAGGAAGTTCTTAACACTATGCTACAAAACAGACCCAATATTGGGTCCTGGAGCACTTCTGCTAAGATAAGAAATAGATAAAAGTCTTTATTGTCATTGTCACAGGCACAACGAAATTTTAAAAAGTGCCATCAGTGATGCTATAACATAACCAATATAGGAATATTGCATATCTATGCAATGAGCAAAAGCTCATCTAAATGATAACACAATTTTCTACTTAAACAACACCCGGCTGAAACACTAAACATTTTTTTAAAAACATAAGCAAGACAGTGCAACAAGGTCTGCTCAAACTACCAATAAGATTAAAACCTAGATGCTGCTGTTTCCAACAGCACCAGAATCACCATTCTATATGCAAAACTCACTGAACCAGCAGCCAAAGAAGACACACACACACAAAAAAGCTAATTTCGTAGCTATTTTCACAAAGCTAAAAACATAAATTCAGTTCTACCTTTTCTGTTTTATGGTGATAATCCATGTTAGATTTGTCAATCATCCAAATCAGCCAATGGGCTGCAGAAAATTTGGGATGTTCGCCTGGAATTTTATCAACCAATACCTTTCTAAAATGTTTATCTTAATTTTTTGGGAATTAAATATGGTACAGCATGTGGTCAGAACCTGTATTGTGAATTGCTAGAGGGTCTGGGTTTCCACTGTATGGTTTTAAGAAAAATCCACATTACGTAATGTACTTTATTAGAATTTTTTATTTTTATTTTGTATTTTTTCACTGTGTGCCATATGTATTTGTTCTTGCTCAGTGATACTTTTTACATTTATTTTGATAGCCAAACCAGTCAAATAGACCTTGTAGTTCCTGAGATACATGGAATTCTGTTTGGGGATGTCTTTTTGAGAACGGTCCAAAAATATACAAAAAAGAGGTTCTGTTCCCAAGAGCACTTATGATGTTTCAGGTCTTAGTCAACATGATTTTAAACAAGGTTTTTCATTTTTTTCACAAATCTACAGTCAACTCCTTTATTTTGTTCAGATTCAAGATGAGATGATTGTTCCACCCCATTGACACCCCATTGGCCCCACCAACTCTCTGTCCTCAGCTTCTTGTCCATCACTGATACACCCAACAACTGCAGAGTCATCTGAGTATTTCTGGAGAAGACAGAAGTCGGACTAGTTCTGGAAGTCTGAAGTGGAGAGTGAAAAGTGGTGCTCCTGTGCTGCTGAGCACCTGATCAGACACACAGTCCTTCAGTCCCACTGTTTGTGAGGTAGTCATAGTCCCAGGTGATTGGGACTATGATTGGGACCTGTGTCTTCAGGAGTCAGAGCAGATCGGGCTGAATTGTTAAATGCACTGGAGAAATCAAAGAACATAATCCTTCTTTTATAGTATGATAATGGTCAAACTGCATGGGGTCCTGATATAACCTTGTCTGCTTATTCAGTTGAGCTAAGTTTAGTTTCTCCAGGACTTTCACGATGTTAGGGCAACAGGTCTATAGTCACTGATGACCGATTAGTGAGTTTTCTCACAAATGGTAAAAGAAAAAGGCAAGATGCCTTCCACCAAAGTCAAACATTCTTGTGGGTTGAAGACAAATTTGAAAGGTTCATGACTGAAGTGGAAGACAAAACATCGAGATGTGAGAGAAAAGCTATGGGTAAAGGGAGGTTGGCTTATAGGAAGCAGAAGATAGAGGTATTTTCACAGCAGAATGTTTTTCAGGAACATAGGTCTGAGAACATCCCGATTTGATTTCCACTGCAGATATCAAATAACTGAAAAGCAGATACTTTAAAAACAACCCAGTAAGAATGGTAGGAGTGTTTGGACTGTCCCTAACTTGAAGGTGGAGCTTTGTGGTGGAAGGATGCTTAAAATGTTAGGGGTTTTACTTGACCCAAGCAAGTCCTTCCACAGACAAGGACTGAGGAAGGTAACTTTACTAACATATGTTGTGGCTTTTTTAATCTATTTTGTGCAGAAAAATTTTGTTCACATTTTACAGTCTGACAATTTCATTAAGCACAAGAGAGCTAGAGGAGTTTCAGGAGCAGTTTGTGAAATGTTAGGAACTGGGAAAGTGTGTCCCATACACCAACATCTGCTGTCTTTAGGAAATACACACACATACACACCATTCATTGTTACTGATTTACTTTCTGTACTGCATCAGTGATACTGTGCTATACTGGGACTATTTGTTTTGTACGAATGGACACTGACAGATTTTCTACTTACAGAAATTTAACATCAGCACCGAAGCAGAGTCTACTCTGAAGAAACGATCCCCGTATCAGGACAAGACACATATCAAGTGTAGCGTACAGAAGTGGAAGACAGCTTCACACAGAGAAGAGTCCCTTCTCCATCTTTACCCACGTGTTGTGTGGGAGAAAGCTAACAGGGAAATGGAAACAGGCCCTGCCTTTTGTCCCATCTGCTGTCAGATGATTCTGAATCCCAGCTCAAACACGTTTGATGAACATCTCAAATAATTTGCATTTACCCTTTAAGGCGTAGTGCATGCCACCGATTCCACTGTAAAGCTCCAGCACCCGCAGACTTTCCATGGCTTTGTTTTTCGATGGGTCTTCTTCTGTTGACGTATGGTGGCGGTTGACCAGAATAAAGGCGCATTACTGCCATCTACTGGGCAAGAGTTCCGGCTAGTTTATGGACAGATTCATTTACGTATATCTATGTTCTTTAAGATAAATTAAAAGAAACGAACCATTGATCCGATTTTACATACTTGTACCAAAAAAGACTATGGAGTGGAAAGAAACAAAGTTGTAGACAAGAAAAAAGAAAAAAAAAACTGTCAACACAATCTAAAAAAATAGAACTTCAGATTCCATTGAATAAGGATGAATGTGAATGTAAATTAATAATAAAAATATTCCCAATATTGAGTAGAGGAAGATATTTACACATTTACAATCAAAGTTTTGTTGGACAAAAACAGGAAAAAGCAGGAAACATTCCATAATGAAGTTTGGTTCAATATCTTGCCTAACCAACACTCATAGTGGAAAGTTAATGAGTCAACAAGAATTTTGAGATGAAATAAAACACTTGAGGTACAGCATTAACAAAAAAATAGAAAATTCCTGAACCAGGGCCTGCCAAAGTGTGCCCGTCGGTTTGGACCCAGTGTTCTGATGCTAAATGCTAACTATGGCTAAAAGAAATTACAAAGTATCATGTGGAGAATCACAAGAATATTCACTAACATGGACTTGCACCACTCAGTATATTAAAATAAGTGTATAAGCTAAAATTAGCCTAAAAGCTAATGTTAGCATGAATACTGTCAGTAGCATGTGGAGCATCAGTATCATGTTCTCTGTAATTGACTTACTCCGTTCACTATACCAAACATGGGTAATAAGTCAGAGAAATAGGTAATACCTCATTTAAGATAAAAGGCTAATGCTAGCCTTTACCTGAGAGAAAAAGATCATGCCGGATAATCTTAGTGCACTAGTGGGGAACAGTGAAATGCAAATGTTTTTGCTAATGTTGATGCACTGTCTTGCATCAACATTGCTATGGCCAATTTACTATTGCTTCACTAGTGGTTTCAGTTTTTTTGATGCATCTGTAATATTTGTTTCTTCATATTTGATGGATAGGGTGGATGTGCCAGCCAAAAAATCAGTCCAGACAATTTTTATTAAATTTCAGATCTCCTTAAATGAAACTTAGGTTGAAGTAATTATTTAAGGTATCAATAAAATACGGAAGGATGCAGTACAGAAAATAAAAAATGGCTGCAAATATAAACTTCATAAGGAGGTAACTTAAAGTTAAAAAGTTATCCTTTTATGGAAAAGGGTCAAAAAAAGTTGCTTGTTTTTGTTTTGGGGAATAGTTTTTGATAAGAAATTACCTTGGAAAATGTTATGAAGCAAATTATGGACAAAAGTAACAAGTTATGAAGGGTTTAGCAGCGTTGACATGGGATGCTAACTTTGAGTCTATTGAAAATGTTTATAAATTTATTAAAGAATAGATTATGAATAAGTGGTACATGGCTTAGAGGTTAAAACTTGGAAAAGTAAATAAATAAATAAAAATAAAATATTATTCAAACTTATCTGTTGAGTATTAGTTGAGCGACTAATGTTGGAGTTGGTATAATAGCTCCATTATGCTTTACAAGCAGAATCATAAGAAATACCTTTGGAAAACAACAGTTAATGGATAATCACTGCATGCATTTCAGGTAGTATATTAAAACCTTCCAGTTAAGAAAATGTTATAAATTGTTGGGAAAGACGAGATGAACTAAAAATTGTTTTGACTGGATTGGGGATAACTGAGAGAACATTGAAGAACATAACAAAATTATAGTCAGACAGTAATGTAGTCCTAAAGACAAAAAATCTAGTAATGATGTGGACTTCTGCTCATGTAGATATCTTGTGTAATGAAAGAGCAGATAGACTGGCTAAAGAAACTGTTAAAAATATATTGATATGCAATAGGTTTCTTTCCAAACCTATTGTTTGGAAAGAAAGTAAGAAATTGATGAGGAATAATATTATAAAAAGGAGACATTACAAAATACAGTACAGGTTACAAGACATAAAAGAATAAGAAGGAGATCATAATAAGTAGAATTAGAACTGGTATAGTTTTTTGAATAACACTAGTTTATGTGTTTGATGTAATGCCATAGAAATGATAAAATGTTCTTTTATTAGAAGCAAGAAATAAGTGACTCCAACTTCCAAGACAAATGTTAATTTTGAGAATGGGTAATAACAGAAAACTGAATTTTGAACAGTTGAATAATGATGAAAGGAACGATATTTCGTTTTTTATCTTTGTAAAATACAATATGTGACAGTAATGCTAAATTGTTGCACGTAAGCTTCCGTTATAAATTGAGGACGAAGAAAAAGAATCTACCTCTTCAATATGGCGGGCCTCATTGACGTACGCGACAGATACCACCTCGGTGTGTGTGCACGTCCGGAGTTCTGCTAGACGTAACGTTTGGACCCCTCTCCGTTTGGTCGGGCGCAGTGAGGAAGAGACATTTCCTAATAAGGAAAGGGTGTGCTTTCGGATACACTTCCGGGTAGGCGGAGAGTTTGAGGAAAAGTCTCGCTTTGGAAATACTTCTAGGCATTTTTTAAACGGTGAGCCTTAGTGATCCTGTTACTTACCACAGCTTTTCCTGGCTTCTTCTCCTGCTTGCATCCTGGTCGTATGCGTTTCGCCTCCATCTTTTCAGAACGATGTCAAAATCTTTGAAGAAGATCGTGGAGGAAAGTCGGGACAGGAGCCTTCCTGAGGTAGAAATGTGCGACAGGGGGATCTCGAACATGCTGGACATCCCAGGCCTGTGTAAGCTAAAAGCTCTTCTTCATTTGTAAAACTGGAGGATGAAGGCTGAAAAGTGGAGATCCGTGTCTGTAGAACGGGGGGAGATTTCTTCCCATAAACTCATGCTGTCATAAATGCTGAATTCTGTGATGTGTCAAGTACTCTGTAAAAAAGTTGCATCTTCTTTTTCAGCTTTTGTTTTTAGCTAAGATAGTCTTCTAAAGTGAGTACTTAGAAAAAAATTGAGATTGGACTAAAAGAACAAATGATTCCAGACTTTATGATTAAGATAGTTTCAGTAGTTGACTTTGTTACTGCTTTCTTTATGAAAATTAATTTGAATGTTTACCATTATTCTTCAGTACGCCTAGGACCATGGGAGTAAAAGACTAGATGAGATTGAACTCTGTCATAATGTGGCAAGAATTGTGTGCTTTCAAACCACAACAATACATGCAAAAAACAACAACAACAAAAAACACCATCAGTTGAATGCAGAGCAGGGCAACGTTATGATCCTCAGCTTCTTTCCAAGGTCACAAACACTCAACAAATCTGAGAGACTGAACCTTGGGAGTGTTTTGAACTTGAAAATGTAGCACTGACCAATTGGACAGAAAAAATAAAAATAAAAATGGGACAATATTTTCCCATTATACTTACTACATAGAAGAGTCATGCATATTGCACATGACCCATTATAAAACCTGTCATATGCAGGAATCCATCTAATTAGCTGACATGGAGCCATGATAATGGTTGTAACAAAATATATTTTTAAGCAGTTTACTTTCCAGAAAGATTAATCTAATTGACTGATGAATTTTCTCTACTCTTAAAGCTGTTTTTTTCTAAGCTGCATTCTTAGAAAATAAATTCTTCATATGTTTGAAGTTGGGCTTTGTGTTCTCTGTTTTGCATTGTTAAACTATATCAATCTCATGGTAGCAGCAAGTTGGAATAACTTTATGTCACTACCATTTTTTTTATTCCTTTTCCAATTAAGTTGTAAGTTCACAACAAATGTTGTCTTAAGGCACTCAAGAAAAAAAAAAGAGTTAAATCATGTATACTGAAAATAGTTTGAAAAGTTTCTATTTAACAAAACTAATTGCATTTAGCCATTGACTTGCAGCATTAACTCCTTCTGGATGAGGACATGGCAACAATCGCTGTGTCATTGACTTTCAGCAATCTTTCTGACCAAGCATTCAGAGACAGACAGATTACTCTGAGGAAGAGCAGCGGCTGTTCTCAGAGTAGAGCCGCTGCTTCTTCACGTCAAGAAGAGCCAGTAGAGGTGGCTTGGGCATCTAGTCAGAATGCCTCTGGATGCCTCCCTGGTGAGGTGTTCCAGGCACATCCCATCAGGAGGAGACCCAAAGGAAGACCCAGGAAATGCTAGAGGGACTATGTTTCCTGGCTGGCCTGGGAATGCTATGGGATTCCCTGGATGAGCTGGAACAAATGGCTTTGAAGAGAGAAGTCTGGGCCTTCTTACTGTGGCTGCCAACCCTGTGACATTACTCTGGATAAGGGAAGAAAATGGACGGATGGATAAAGGGCAATGGTCCAAGAACAGAGCCCTGTGATACTCCACATGTAACCCTGGAGTGTGAAAGTATGTTCACATAAGCAAACTGGAATCTGTTGGACAGATAGGATTTAAACCAGCCTAGTGCTATTCTCTTGATAACTACTTGTTCAAACAGTTCTAAGAAAATATTGTGGCCAACTGTGTCAAAATCAGCATTGAGGTCTTGTAAAACCAGAACAGACACAAATCCATTATTTGAGGCCAAGAATACTCTTTGTAAGTTTGAACAGTGCTAATTCAGAGCTATGATGTATTCCTAAAACTGTTCAAAAATGATTTGTGCATTTTTGACTTTTTTTCTTGTTTTCATTTCAGTCACTCTGTCTCACATTACTCAGTTGGTCCTCAGTCACAACAAGCTCACAGGTAAGATGGTCCCTTCGCTTTACAATTATATTGAACTGCAGTATTTAATATTTATATTGTCCCACTAGCTCAGGTTATAATAGGAAATAATATTAGCTACCATAACTATGCGGATGACACACAGCTCTACATTACAATGTCACCAGGTGACCTTTGACCCCATCCAATCAC